AGCAATTCTGGGGGGGGGGGAGCGAGCATTAGCGAGCAGGGAGTCTCCTAGTAGTATATATAACTGTTAATAGTTACATATACCTCCATTGATACCACAGAAAACAAGGAACTATTTTTCAGGACTCTAAAGCAATGATTGACTTTTAAATCTTAATGTATTCATAGAAAATCCTGATTTTAATACTTTTCTTTTAGGGAAATAAAGCCTCTTTTTCTAGAACCATATTTTACTTCTTGTTAAATTATTTGGGGACACAAATAAATTAAAATGTCCATAATTCAAATCTGTCAATAACAAAAAAAGTATGTTTAAACCAGAGAAGTAAATAAAAAATATTCTCAGGGGTGAAAATTTCAATATAAAAAGAAGTATTTGCTAAGGTTTTAAAGTAAATGAATATGTTAAATATAGATCTTTATACTGAACAAATTAATCAAAGATATGCGGTCAAAAATCGGAACTATAAATTTAAATACTTAAGTCTCATGATTGTGTATGCAATAAAATGAAAACAATTTCAATACCTAGAATCCATTAAGCCTTAATGAAGACTGCTTCTTTTCAATACAGTAACAACCATTCATGAAATCCACCCTTTTTTAATATCAAATTTGCAAGAGCAGAACCATGTTAATGCATGTTAAAATCAATGAAATCATCATTTTGTATGATTGTGCTTCTGGAGAGCATGCTTCAGTAATGAAAAACATATTTCCCTTCAGGGATTAATTTGAATTTTCTTTCAAATTTTGAAAGATATGTAGCATATAGACAACAAATTTCCTGCACGAACAAATCTACCTGAGTGAAGCACAGTTAAAAATAATGAAGCAAAGAGAGTTCAGACGGTTTCTGAGAGAAAAGCCTCAAGAAAAATGTTTGGTGCTACAAATGTGGATGGCTTATGGTAGAGGTGCACAACCTTTTTGAATGAAGGGCCACTTGCGCAGCAGGTAGATTAACGAAGGGCCAAAAGTATATTTAGTCATGTTAGCGGCAAATATGATAGTTTTTATATAAGCATTAGTATTCTAAGCACTAAATAATATATAATAATAATAATAATATATATAAATATATATATATATATAGACACACACACATATATATANTGTTTATATATATACAGACACACACACACATATATATATACATACATACATAAAACAAATTTTTTTCAAACAAATATTTAATTTCTTAAGTTGCACTCAATAGTAAAAGAAACAATAACATGCAAATCCCTTATTCTTGTTGTTGGCTTAGAAACATGACACAGAAACGTACATCACAAAAAATGATGGAAATCCACCAAAAGACTAAACAGAGGGAAAGAATACACTTTGTCAGATTTTGTACATTAAATTATTCACTCACTAATTAACCAGCATATTTTAGATGGAACCCTCAAAGTAGGTGAAAGAAAAAACAGATCTTAAAGTGAAAAGCTGTAAAGTTTTTTATTTTATATATGGTACCTTTCTTTTTCCGATTCTACGTGGAAAGTGCGTTCGATTACAGTCGTCCACTGAAGGCCACGAATCATAAATGTAAAAGGTTTAGGCCTATCTGCTTTCATTAATTGGCATCCTGCAAAAAATGTTAAGAGATTATAAAGATTGTAGAAATGCAATATTTTTTTTTTGTTTGATTAGATCATTTCAGATTGTAGGCCAAAGCAACAGAAAGCCACATTATCAGGGATGTCATCCACTTGTGGCAAAAGATTTTATAAAGTAGTAGATAATTAAAAACTAATACTCACTTGTGTTTAATTCCATTAATCAGGGTTCCCACTCAATTTCAGAAAAAAGAATTCAATGACCTTTTCAGGTATATCAAGTAAATTTTAATGAAAATCCATGTTGTATTTTATCTATACCATGTTATTTTTCATCAGTAAACTTTGATATTCTATTTGTTATATCAAATATTAGATTTTGAGAGCAAAAATTAATAGAATGGAAACATGGAAAAGCTTCATTAAAAGGTAGAATTTTTAAAAATAAGTATTTAAATCGAATCCCGATAACTGTTATTGACATTCTAAGATTGGTTACTTTCCAGGTAGGATATAGGAATTTTCCGGGTGTTTTGTAAAAAATGACAACTTTCCCTGATTTTTAGAGTTAAAATAAAACTCCCAGAAAATCCAGGTTTTCTCAGACCTGTGAGAGGACTGTCAATATTTTAAGAGGCTCACTAAGAAATAATTTAAACAAATATTCATATGTTATATGAATATTTGAATTACTTAAATGTATTGGTTGGCAAAAAAACTTTTGAATGAAATTTACTAACCTAAGAATCAACATGAATTTTTCCACAGCAAGTTGGAGCAAAATTCTGTGGAGTAAGTTGGCATCAATGCATTATTGATGTTCCTTATCACCAATAACCTTTTGCGGGCCTTGAGCTAAGCATTCTATCTCAACAGTTTACTTTCACATTCTTTTCTTATTTAAAGTTTTTTTCCCAGTCTTTAAATTAGTAACTTTGTTTTGAAATCCCTCTGACTTTATAAAGATCTTAACCTGGAAGTGCCTATCAACATGTTAGCAGGCACATTAGATTATCACAACATCTGCAGATAATTATTCATCTCAGATATTTGAAAGGGGGGGGGGAAACATATAGTAAGGCTAGACAGAATAATAGTCAAATGAAGAAAATATTTTTCTTTTCTTATTTTCCCCTTCTGAAATAAAAAAAAAGGAAAACACCCACATTCGTCCTACTGATGTTATATCCGTGTAGGGAAGGATTATTCCTTTAGAATAGGACTAGATTTTCCGAATAGTCCAAACATTTTAAGAATTTGAAACTAAAAAATAATTTTCAGACATATCAGGTAAAGAAAATTGATGGCTTTCAAAACTTATTAATTTTTTTAAATTAACTGGACTTAAATTTTTGAAAATAAAAGCGACAAATGAATGAGTGACATGAAAGAGACGAATGAATGAATGATATGAAAGAGATGAATAAATGAGTGATATGAACGAGACAAATGAATGGATATAAAAGACACTAATAAATGAATGAGTGATATAAAAGAGACAAATGAATGATTGTGTAACTACAAAAGTCCATCATACAGGATTTGTTACTGCATTTGCTGAAAATAATCAACGTATGACCTTTGAATTCATCACAATAAAAATTTTAAACGAGTTTCATTTTCATGGAATGACTAAATTTTTAAAAAGAATTAATTAACGATTCCTGTGGATAAGGCGATCTGCCTGAACCTTGTATATAATTAGTAGATGGCCCCTCAGTTGAAACGGTGGAATTTAGATTTCCACTAATACTATTAATTAAAATTAAAAAGATGTTGGTAAATCTTTCGATTCTTCAAAAATTTTCACTCGTTTTTTTAGAAAATGTGATGTTCTAAACATGTGCTAAAATCAAGAATATCAAGACAAAAAGGTAAGAATCAGGACAAAAAATTTTTGTTAAGGAAAGACAGGATTATCAGGCCGTGCAGGATACAAATTAGAGAATTTTCTAATGAAAGGTGATATCATTGAGATTAAATAATTCTAGAAAAAGAGCATAATATATACATAAAGAGTGTAATTTGTTCTATTTCTAAAACGTGAAAGTATTTTTTATTCGTTAAAATTTAATACATTTCTATATATTGAAAATTTCAAAAATATAAAAATTTTTTTGCTCAATTTTTGGCTTTAGAAAGTAATTAAGACTCTCAGGATAATGGGAGAACAATTCAAAAAAAATATTTAAAAATGTGTGGATTTATAATAATAGCTGTAGTAATAAAAGCTTTTTTTATCATTTCGAAAAAAAATTAAAAATTAACTTACTTAAATATGCTTTTTATCAGGTTTTTTTGATAATTTTTTGTTGAAAAAAAATACACTCGAGTTTTTTGTGCAGATGTGTTAGTAGACTGCTCTGAAAAAATTTCATCTTTATTAAGAGAAAGTAAGTTTTTGTGAACAAATTCTTACTTAAAATAGTATTTGCACTAACTTATTAGCACAATTAAATTGACTCATTTGAACCATTGAATTCCCCTTAGTACTTACTATTTTAATCTATCAGTAATATGCCTATACATTTAATTTAAATAAGACCTTGCCTATTTCCTTTAACATTCCATTTTTAAATTATTTAAATGAGTACTTCTAACGATCATTCTCAGTCATTATTTTTTTAAGCTTTTCATTTTTGTTCAAGAATTCTGTTTTTAATTCAAAATTAATTGCCAACCCAAACTAGAGATAGTTAAAGCATCGCCATTTGACAGCACCAGAACATGTCACTTTTCAAAGTTTATTTCCAAGTTCAATTGTCGCACAATCATAGTATATTTACTACAGTACAGTACCATATCTACAGTACAGTATGAGACCCCTAATCCGGCATCCCGAAATCCAGCAAGACCCGAAATTCGGCACTTAATCCGATCTAAATTTTTATTTATTGATAAGAGAAAAAAAAAATCAGTCATATTTTCCTTCTATTTGGAATTTTTTTCTCTTGAAGTAAGTAACTATATTTTATCTTTTAAAAATAAAAACATGAAGAGAAAAAATAATAAATCTGAGTCAAACAAAACATCGATTCCTAATGCAGTTGAAATTGAAAAGTAAAAACATCTGCATTTCCAATGAACAAAATAAAGAAATGCAAGTTGGGAGAAACTGATCAATCAATCTTGACAGCTGTGCAAGTGCTTTACTGGTTCGTCCCCACATTTCCCTCTCCTGTTTGACCATAAATTAGCCACACCCTTTTGACTTTGAAACTTCTTTCTCACTTGGTGTATAAAATGAATTCTATCCCTTTTGCTGCTTTTTTTAAAATTCATTTATCTTTTAATTAGTTATTAACTGTTACTTTTTCTTGTTACTTGTTTTTTTTTATCGTTATTAGTTGTTTGCTTCTTTTTTGTAGTTATTCATTGTTAGTTTCTTAGCATTAATTGTAACTTTTTTTGTAGTTCCTTGTTAGCTTTTTTATTTCTTTTTATTTTTAGCGAGGTGAGAGCCTTTTGTTAAAACAAAATGCTATATAAAAGAAAAAACGAGAACAATGATCTTGCGAAGAAGAAACGATTATTTCTTTTTGGAGGATTCCGATTATTTCTTCTCGATTATATCATATAGATTATTATTTTAATTAATGAAATTTCTAAAGATGGGACAGTTTTAAATTCACCCCATCATTATCTACAATCGAAACTTAGCTAAATGTATGGATTTTTCTGAAATTAACAGCGTAATTTAATTATCGTAATATATTGGAGCCATATTGGAATTTTCGGAAGAGATCCGAAATTCGGCAAATTCCGAAATACGGAATTTCGCCGGTCCCGTGAGTGCCGGATTTTGGGTCCTATACTGTATATGATAAAAAGCATGAACGATTTCAAATACGACAATTATGTCAAATGTTTGCTTAAAGTATGTAACAAATCTTCTTATAATTTTCGTTTGATTTAATTAAAAACTTAATCTTATGTTTATTAATGTCTCCGTTTAAAATGTGGGCAAAATTATATCAGTTATACATCTTCATACTCAAAATAGTAATGAACTTAAGAGTTCTTTACTTTATTAAATACACATTAATATTTCTACATAAAATCAATAATAAAGCAAACCTTTGACTGTAAAATTATTCAATGGATCATCAAATCCATGCTCTGGCTTGCTTTTAAATCCAATGAGTGCACCATTATCAAGCAGGAGAAAGTAGCGAGGACGCCAATTTTTAATATGTTCACCTAAAAAAAAATAAAATAATAAATTCATATTGAATCAATTGTACATACCCAAAAAGCTATGCAACAAAGCAATCACAATTTATTACTTCCAAATCAACATTTTATTTTTCCTACTGTAGTAAATTTTTGAAGAAAAAAAACTTCTTATGCAAAAGAATACAACTGCTTAGACCAGTGTTAGCAAAATATAGTAGTATTATACTTTGAAAAATATGGATAATTTTTAAAGAAAGATGGCATTTTTATATATATATATAAAAAAAAAATTCCTAACACAAAAAACTTATGATTAAATTGTTCATGATGTTGGACAACAGCCACCACTATCACTTGTAAAATCAATCAATTAAGTAAGGTCAATTATGCAAGCACAATTTAGTGATCATCTATTAATCTATTAATTAATTACAATACTTAAAAGACCATAAAAAATAAAATTTTTAAGAAGAGAGTTAATAATCAAAAAAATAAATGCTTCCATTTAAAAAAGGCCACATTTTAAATGTGTTCAATTTCAGGTAAAGTACGAATACAATACATTATTCAGATTATTCTTACACAACATACTAGTCCTACTTGTCCATCTGCATGTTTCTATTAGATTATTTTTAAAATTAATTAAGTGAATTTAAATAAAACAAATTTACAATCTAAACATTTGTAAGGCCACAATTATGATGAAATATCGTATTTTGAGACAAAACGCAGACCAAAATATAACCCCCCCCCCTCCCAAAAAAAACTGCATACTGCCTTTTTAAATTGATTGTGGATCTGGAGAACCACTAGATATTATTTTATGTTAGACTGAATTAAATTTTAGTGGTTTGGAATTAATGGAATACCATTAAATCCTGAATATTACAACATTAGAAATTGGCATGATCTTGTTTCCATAACAGACAAACTAAGACTTTTTGTCTAGGGGAGTTTCAGTTTTAGCACATTCTATCAATCAAAACATTTGAGAATTGCAGGGACCCAGAGACAAAAAGATTTTGATTCAACTCCCAGATAGTAATTGGCAATTTTACTCTATATTTATGCATACTTTTGAGTTTCAGATTTTAATTTGAAATTTTTTATTATAAATAAGAACATTAAAAAATAACATTATCATTAGCCAATACGGAAAATACAAATTTAATTCAAGTTAAATTATTGGTTCATTGTAAAGAAAAGAAGAATTGAATCTAACACATCCTTCATATTTGATTTTAAATCATTATGAATGTATTTTAATGCTATGAATAGTCATCAACTTGGCTAAACAGCAACGTCATTACAATGTTTTGAATGTTCAGCTACAAGAAAAATATAGCTTCCGGGAGAATTGTTGATCCCCTACATTTCATTCAGATAGATTTTTTAAGACTCAAAATTGACAGTGATATATGGGTCCGAAACTACTGAAATTTGACTAGGACTACCATAAATTAATTACCATTGATCCCCTACATTACATCATAACTGCGACATAACTCAGCTTCTATATAGTGATTTCAATTTTTATTCATTTTTTAAAATTTATTTTAAGAAATGTCTCCTAGCGATATGTAAATGGACAAATGAAAATTTATCGGCCTACTAATATCTTGTTACTGGTTCTTTGGGCAAGTGGCTAAATTTTTCATACTTCTATCCCGGTTGGGAGGAAGCAAGAGAACTAGTTCAAAATACAGTGTTTCACTACAGCGCGAGAATCTCGCATATTCTTTTTCTTTTCTCGCAGTAAAAAATTATTACCGCGAGAAATTCACACATTCTATAAATCCATTTCAAAATTCGCAAATTTCTCGCATTTTAGAAAAAGCTTCACATTACGCCATTTAGAATAAAATCCGTTTCACTCTTCTTCCTGGATCTTTCATTACTTTCAACATCTGCCCCGTTATCTAGCTTCCCTATTTACCAGTATTGTTCAGAACCTTTTCGAACAACAGAACACTACCCTTCCGAGCCACGGAACCCCTTCCAGAACACATTTCTCTGCAACCTTGTGTTTACCGTAGGTAAGGTTTCTTCGTGTAAGACGTTCAAATTTTTTATGCACTAATGTAAGATGGACAAATGCCTTGTAACGGCAAAATCTTCTATGATGATTCAGCAAATATCATATGATGATGCAGCAAAAATATTCAATGCTTTAAAAAATAGAAGACGTTAAAAATTTATTATAATTAAAGAAATGATTCTTTTTCCAAGTCTATTTGTGTTTTTCTAATTTTTAGAAATCTCACTTAACTTTTTGAAATCTCACCCTGTTTTTGAGAAAGGGTGAGAAATTCTCACCCATTTTTTTTCT